TGGTGCCTGCTTAGATTGTGTGGAAAGCACTATGCTGGGTGCTGGGGATCAGAGGAAAAAAAACAGCAAAACTGGCTGCCCTCAAGCAGCTTACATTTCCCTGGGGTGGAGTGGGCAAGGGGATGTTGACTGATCTTGTGCCTGACTGGAGAAAAAAATCAGCTCGGTCGTTGGGGAACCTGAGTTTGGTCCCTGGAGGCATGACCATCCTGCTGCCTACATGGACATAAACCATGTGATTCAACTTTATCTGCTTAAAAAAAGACGAGACTAAACTACAAGCCCACATAACTCTGGCCATTCTAATTCCAGGCTGACATTCAAAAAGGGAAATAGAGAAGAGCACAGAAGGAAATCTTCTACCTAACAAGCAAACAGTTCCAAATTTCTTTCTATAAAGCCCTCTTATTAGATGAGGATGAACTGAGAAAAATTTTAATGCCACTTCACACAATTACTTAGGAGAAACAGAAAGAAATAAGCATCACAAGGATTAAACGCCAGAAATGCAGGAGTTTGGTAGAGTTCCTGAAATCAGGGTGGTCTCAGGAGTACCCAACAAGCTGTTCATTATCAGCCATGACAACATTCTTCTCAAGAGGGAAGGTTTGTTTCAGTCTTTGACGAACTATCAAATACCAGGCTAAAAACCTTGATCATTAAGCAGCTGTCACTACAAAATGTTTTAGCCACCCTGTAAAAGTTAAATTTATTTATGTAAGTAAGATAAGACAGGAATTTCGGGAGTGGGGGAAAAAAGTGGAAGGATTCCCAAGAAAAATATTAGTTTCCTCTAGCTTTCTTAGTCTTACATATTTCTACAAAAATATATCTACCACTGGTTTTTTTAAAGGAGGAGGTGTCTACTTTCCACATTCTTAACTCTTAAAATAATTAAGCTAGAAGTAAAATTACATGCAAATAGGCCTACATTCCAAGGAAGCCAACGACCCCCACATATACCAAAATGTTTGGAACAGCACCTTTTGTGGAAGCAAAGAACAGAAAACAAAGTAAATGCCCACCCACTGGGGACTAGCCAAGTAAGTTCTGGTATATAAAAGTAATGAAGCAATGCTGTACTTGAAGAAATAATGAGCATGAGAACTACAAAGAAGCAAGGGAAGACCCAGGTACAAAATGAAGTAATTAGACTCAGGAAAAGGAGACTCTGCAATGACTCTAATAATGGAAATGGAAAGAATAACGACCCAACAACTGAAACTGACCACTGTAAAACCATCAGGCCGCTGGCCGTGGCCTGCCTCCTGCGGCCAGGAAGCCTGAGTGGGCCCATCTCAGTCTGGCATGAATATGGTAGGGACCCTGACATGCTGAAGGGTGGCAAAGCAGCTCAACTCAGTCCAGCTCAGAAACAGAGCGGGCCAAAGCTCCCCTTGCAGATCAGGGTGGCACAAACCTAGGCTTCCAGGCTCAGGCAGGTGGCAAGAGACAGTCTTTCTTAATTATTTGTTTTTATTATCTTGGCCAAGGGCGGCCCGAAAGAAGGGACTGAGAAGGTATTTCCCCCTGCTTCTTTTCAGAGGTTAGGGACTACAGGTGTGGAATGTTGCGATGGAATGCCAGGCTTGTTTGATATGATAGTGTTACTGAACTGCTTTTTACCCTCTTTTTATTCTCTAGAAGAGGGATGAGAGAGAGCGTATGCTGGGAAACATAGGTGACCATAAAAACAAAAGGAATCACAGGATCCCAGGTTTAAAGCTGAAAGGAAACTTAGAAGCCATGGAGTCTAACCCCATTCATTTTAAATTTGAAGAAACTGAAACCCAGAGGATTAAGTGGCTTGCCCAGGGCCAGTTTTCGAAAGTGTCAGCGGCAGAACCAGAACCCGGGACCTCCCAACTCCAAGCCCACTGCTTTCTACTACACCACACTCTGACACAAATCTAGAAAAAGGACAAATTACCTGCAAACTACTATACAAACTTCTGCTGTGGTTTGGTCATGTCTTACCTTCCGTGACCCCATGGACCATAGCTGTCCATGGGGTATTCTTGGCAAAGATTCTGGAGGGGTTGGCCATTTCCTTCTCCAGCGGATCCTTTTGTGAGGTAAACAGGCGAAGTTACTTAACCTAGGGTCACCCAGCTAGAAAACACTGAGGGTGGATCTGAACTCAGGTCTCGCTGACTTCTCCAGCTGATTTTACAGATAAGGAAGTTGAGGGAAACAGGGTGAAGTGAATTGCCCAGGTTACAGCTAATAAGTGTCTGAGGCAGGATCTGAACTCAGGTCTTCCTGACTCCAGGGTCAGCTCTCTATCCTCTGCAACCCCACTAAGTTCCAAAACAACTGAGCCCTGTTTCTTTGAGATCAAAACAGAATAAACCTGACTTGGCAATAAGTGACTACCTATGAAAATTTATGGTGGGAAGACATCCACACATTACAAAAAGGCAGGGTAGGGGAGAGGATGAGATAATTGCAAAGGCCACATCTGTCCTGATCTCTCCAAGGAAAGAGAATACTAACCAAAGCAACAGTTCATATGAATGGAGCTCCCTTCCTTTCTACAAAACCTTCTCACAACCACTCAATGACAGATGCTGGGCAAGCACAGCTACTCCTGTCTCACAGAGAAGGAATCAATCTCTCTCTCTCTCTCTCTGTTTCTTCTCCTCTGTCCTCTCTCTCTCTCTCCTCTCCGTTGGCTAAAGAAGCCAATGGAACAATCTATTTTATTTGTACCCATATATCCCCAGAACTTCTCACATGGTAACCTGCTGCCTGCAACCAGTGCTTAGTAAGTGTTCTGTGCCGCTAAGCGAGCAGAAATGCCCACAGTTGCCGCCACGCTTTCTGTGGCACGGTAGTCTAGGAAAGGCAGACCAAAGTCCTGCTTCAGAAGGCGCTATCAACTTTTCAACACTGGAATGCTTCTCCAACACCCCGAGACACTTATAATGGTACCACAGGATGACCTAGAAACTGACAAAGGCTTTTAAAGACTTCAACTTTCCCGTACCACCAAGTAAAATACATTGTGGAAAGCAGAGTGACCTGACTCAAGGCACTGAGGAGCATGTGGCTGTGGTTAAGTCACTCCCTCTCTCAGCCTTGGTTTGCTCTTCTATAAAATGAGGGGGATGGATGTGACAACCTTAAAGGTCCTTTACCTGACTAAAAAGCCAATGAAATTGACTTTCACTTGAAACCATCTATTTCATAGAATGTTATTACTGAAAGCTGTAAAGTCATATACCAAAAAGATCTAAAGTTAATTTTTCTAACACTGATGGTTTTATTCCCATACTCCATCAGAATAGCTTTATTCTCTACAGCAGCAATAAAGATTTGCACTTGGAAAAAAGTAGAAAATAACAGTGATTGCTATCTGATAAGTAAAACACTCCCTGAACTTGGTAGGTAACTGTTTCTTAAAGATTCTCACTTGTAGGAATAGTTTACCTATCAGATCTATGGAGAACAGAATTCATGACCAAACAGGAGATAGAGAACATTATGAAAAGCAAAATGGATAATTCTGATCACACTAAATTGAAAAGTTTTTGCACAAACAAAGCCAATGCAACTAAGATTAGAAGGAAGATAGAAAACCGGTAAAAAATTTTTACAACCAGTCTCTCTGATAAAGGCCTCACTTCTAAAATATATACAGAATTAAGACAAATTTATAAGAATACAAGCCATTCCCCAATTGATAAATGGTCAAAGGATATGAACAGACAGTTCTCAGGTGAAGAAATTAAAGCCATCTATAGTCATAGGAAAAAATGCTCTAAATCATTATTGATTAGAGAAAGGCAAATCAAAACAACTCTGAGGTACCACATCACACCTATCAGATTGGCCAACATGACAAAACAGGAAAATGATAAATGTTGGAGAGGATGTGGGAAAATTGGAACGCTAATACATTGTTGGTGGAGTTGTGAAATGATTCAACCGTTTTGGAGAACAATTTGGAACTATGCCCAAAGGGCTACAAAAATGTGCATACCCTTTGATCCAGCAATAGCACTTCTAGGGCTATATCCCAAAGAGATCAAACAAATGGGAAAAGGACCCACATGTACAAAAATATTCATAGCAGCTCTTTTTGTGGTGGCAAAGAATTGGAAATTGAGAGGATGCCCATCCATTGGGGAATGGCTGAGCAAGTTGTGGTATATGAATGTAATGGAATACTACTGTGCTGTAAGAAATGATGAACAGGCTGACTTCAGAAAACCCTGGAAAGACTTATATGATCTGATGCTGAGTGAAGTGAGCAGAACCAAGAGGACTTTGTACACAATAACAGCCACGCTGTGCAATGACTAATATTGTTAAACTGAACCCTTCTCAGCATTACAAAGATTAAGACATTTCCAGAGGCCTCGGGATGGAAAACGCTGTCCACATCCAAAGAAAGAACTATGGAAGTCGAATTGCTATCAAATTATTTTTACCTTCTGTTGAGTTTTGTTTCATCTTTCTGATGGTTCTTCATATTGGTTTTAATTTTTACTTACAACTTCACTAATGTGAAAATATGTTTAATAAGAATGTAAATGTAAAGCCTATATCAGATTGTGCGCCGTCTTGGAAACGGGGAGAAAAAATTTTAAACTCAAAAGCATATGGAAGTGATTGTTGATAAATCGAAATAAATTAATAAAATTTTTTTAAAAACATAAAAAAAGATTCTCACTTGTAACCAAAAAACTCTTAGCATGATCTCATAATATAGACGTTTAGGATAAAATGTTAAAGATTTTTTTCTTTCAACATTTAACAATTAGAGCAAACATTTATATAGCGCTTCACGGCTTACAAAGTGCTTTAGGTATATCATTACATTTGATTCTTACAACTGTGCGAAATAGGTTCTGATAAGGCCTTTTTACAGATGAATGGCAGGTTTCAAACTCAAATCTTCCTGGTTCCAAATTCAACATTCTACCCACTAACTAGCTGCCTCAATGTTTGTCTAACTCTGTATTAAAACAACAGCAGTTCCATTTCTAACAAACCTCAAGCAGGCCAGCTTTTGTAGTAACCACCAACATGTCAGAATTTCCTTCATCTTCCATAGTCAGCAGTTCCTCAACTGGAGAAGATGCTCGAAATTGGAAGGGTGTACTTGCTCCTCGAATCTCACCCTTATGGGTAACATAACAGAACTGATAAAATTCTCCATCATCATTTGGAAGGTAATACCCTAAGAGAGAAAGGTAGTAACAACTAAAATCAAAAAAGTGTTTACCGAACATCTATCACGTACCCAGCAAAATATTAATACCAAATATGGAGTTTTTTCTATCTAACACTCTCAAAGGTTTTTCCCTACTTTCCTCCCATGCCTTGTAACTCTCTCATCATTAATCAGCTCCTTTTGCTTTTGCAGAAAACTTTGCAAAAAGTCATTTGTTCAAAAGGTATAGAAGCAGGAATAAGACCAACAGTTAAAGCTGTCTATTTTACGATCTATCGCCTTAAAAACACAAAAAGTTAATGAAATCTGTTGGTTACTGTCCTCATCAAGAGCATTTTGAGCTCCTCTGAGTAAAAACCACACAAATGAATAATCATATAACAACAACACTCCCAACTGATTGAAATATTAATTTTGAATGTATCGATATAAAAAAATTATTTCAAAACTAAGATATTTTTGTTTAAAATTTCACAAGGAAATATGCCAGACTTTACTGGTTTGACCTTGCCTTATTGTATTGGTTTTGTTATTATTTTTTTAAAAAATTACCATACACCAAGAAGGTACAATCCTTCTGTCATCAGAAAATTATCGTTCCTGTATTCTTTGTAGTGGAAGGGGTAATTATGCAAAGTTAGAGATTAATATCATTTAAGAACAATTTCTATTATGAGTAATTAGTGACAGAAGGTCCTTAAAGGTCTCCTAATGCAATGCCTTCAATTTACAGATGATGGGAGGCATACAGAGACAAGTGAACCATCCAGGGTAAACGTAGCTGGTAATAATGTAAATGCTGACTCCCAGTCTAGCACCCCTTCCATCACAACATCACAGAGCCCAAAAATGGGACTCCAAAGAATGAGAAACAAAGCAGAATGAGGAATGGCTAAACAAAGCATGAACACAATGGAATACTCTATGTCCTAAGAAACAATGACTATAAAAAACACAGGTAAACCTGAGAAAACTTATATGAACTAATTCAAAGTAAAGCCGAAACAAAAGAAACCTACATGTGACAGAAATGGAAATAAGAAAAATCAAAACCAAATGCTGAATAATTATAATAATCAAGGCTTCACTCTAGAAGCAAAAAAATCATAAATTTCTCCTTCCTTTTCTTTGTGGAGGTGGGGGGAAGGACATAGAACACAGCACATAGCATGAGACTTGATGGCTGGCTTGGTTAGTTTTGTTTCTTCTTCTTTTTTTTTAAGGTTAGGATTCTACTCATAATGAAAAACGTTCTTCACTTCCAGAGACTTCACTCGCGATGGGCTCTGGGTGCTGACTGAAGCCTACTGTTTTTCACTTTATTTTTCTTGGTTTGTCATTGTTGCTGCTGCGATTGGCTTGCGTGACTCCACAGGTACAATGATTATCACATCGCTTACCTTTTCAATGAGGAGGGACAAGGTACAGAAAGAGGGAGGAAATTTGAAATTCAAAATGAAAGATAATGTTAAAATTAATTAGAATTCTTACTCTAGACAAAGAGGGAAGGACATATAAGAAGAAATGAAGGCCAAAAAAAAATCTTTTAAATGTGGCTACACAAAAAAAACTAAAAACAGTTTTCACTGATCAAATTTCATATAAGGCCTCATAAGATTTAACCTCATGGCATCACACAATTGAGAAAATGACCAAACGTATGTATATAATTTCATTACAGTAAAAAATCCTCCTCCGTAGCAGGGGTTTGGGGCCACACAGCAGAAAAGCTTTAAATTTACATTTCACAAACAATATCACACTAATAACTACTATCCTGACACAAACACTGCACTGTTTAAATATACAATGGTTTTTGTAAACAAGACAATTACATTTTCACAAAACGTAAAAATGCATCTGATACTTGTCTTCCTTTGGGGCTACCCTGGGAAACAGAAATGATACAAAAACTAAAGACATCAATATCTTTTTTTAAAAGATCAGGTAAATTATCAAGTAGAATAGCTAATAAAAACTTGATTCCATTTTATTCAAATAATCAAGTACTTTAAAAATTTACTAAACTGTAATTAAAACTGTCAATCTTACATTTCAGTAAAAAGAAAACTGATCAGCTTTTGCAGATAATACAACTTTTCCAGGATAGTAGGGAATTCTTTAGAGAACTCTAGTCTCATTAATAAAGCTAAATAACTCACTCTGAGCCTGTTCACACTCCATACAGAGCTAAATCTGTTGCATCTACCTCCAAGTAAAATAATTCTGCCCATCACCACTCCTGGTGCCTATCACAGACACAAATAAAACAAATAAATCACAGATTCACTTACTCTGATTTAATATCTAATTATCTAAGTTTTTATCTTATAGTTGAATCCTCATTAATCAGAAAATCCTCCCACAATGACCAAGAAATTGTAATATATTCACAAGACAGGCAAGAGGCTCTCTCAGGATCCCAATGGTCATGTCTCCTTCCAGCCAGTCGTCTTACCATTTACTGATTTGTTTCCCAAGGGTCAAGCCCAAGTAGGAACTACAAAAGAGATATTCACCTGAGGCCCTTCATACTGCCAATTCTCCTCCTTATTCTAAGATCAGTACTAGAGTTCTTAAATTTTAGTCTGAAACTGACACGAAAATAATGTCTGGGGAAGACACATCAAAGAAAAATAAAATCATTTACCAGAAGTTGAGCTGGAGAAAAATCTATTATTATCTGCACTAAAAGATTAGGGAATGAGGTGACAGGAAATACATTTCCAAATTTCGATAAACAAAACTTGTCTTAGTCCCCCAGCCTCTCAATAACTACATAACTAAATAGAACGTTACACTAGATGAAACTTTTTTAAAAAGCTGACACCAGTAAGATATCTACTTCTATCAGATTTCACAGGAGGTCTCTCACCTTGAAAGGACAATAAACAATTGACTGTTGATCCTTCCACATAATGTTCAGGCATTGGAGACCATAAAAATGTATAATAATCTCGAGCAGTACTCCAACCAACCTGAAAGAAAACAACCAAATGAATCGTTTGATTACAAATAAATAGTTCGAGATCACATTATATCTTACAGCAAAGCATCCTAAAGCCAAAATATACATTTAACAATGTTGAGAAATTAATATTTTAAAAAGCATGTCAAAATTTTTATCATGAATTTTTATTAAGCTAATAACTAAGGCTGTAAAAAGATCCTATATAAATTAAACAGGAGATAGTTTCAAAATACACATTAAACCGTCCCTCGATAGTCAATGTCTCTCAAAAAAAAAATCTAATGGAATACTATTGTGCAATAACAAATGATGAGCAGGTAGACTTCAGAAAAACCTGGAAAGACTTATATGGACTGATGCTGAGCGAAGTGAGCAGAACCAGGGAAATATCGTGCACAGTTAACAGCCACGTTGTATGATGACTAATGTTGACAGACTTAGCCATTCTCAGCAATGCAAGGATCCAAGACAATTCCAAAAGTCTCACGATGGAAAATGCTATCCACATCCAAAGAAAGAACTATGGAGTTCAAATGCTGATTGAAACAGACTATTTGCTACTTTTTTTCTTCTGTTGTGTTTTGTTTCCTTTCTCATGGTTTCTCCTATTGGTTCTAATTCTTCCTTACAACATCACTAACGTGAAAATATGTTTAATAGGAATGTATATATACAGCCTTTATCAGATTGCAAGCTGTCTTTGGGAGGGAGGGGGAGAAAAATTTAAAACTCAAAAGCAACAAGTGATTGTTGATAAATCAAAATAAATCAATAAAAAAAAATCTAAGAAAGAGCATATGGATAGAGAAAAGGAATATGACATACCAAACGGTAAAGCAATGATCATCAAAACAATTTAGTGCTGGTTAAAAACACAAGTCAATCAGTAGTATGAATCAGGTACCCAACATAGCAAAGCAATCGAACATAGTACCATAATGTTTGATAACCCCAAAGACCCCAACTATTAAGGTCTCACTATTAGAAAGCAGTGAGGTAGAAATTATGTTTACTTCAACATCGCACACCATATGCAAAGACAAGTGCCCACATGGATACATGTCTAAATGAATCAGAGGAGCAAGAAAGAAAATGACCCATGACAACCATAGATGGAGAAAGAGTCCATGACCAAATAAGTTATTGATAGAGAGGATCTTACAAGTTAAAATGGACAATCACAATTACCAAAATTTAAAAGTTTTTGTACAAATAAAATGCATGCTAGTAAAACTCAAAGGGAAAGAGTGAACTGAGAAAAAAAAATCTTTGCTGCAAGTTTCTCAGATAAAGGTCTTATATCCAAAATCTAAGGAAATGTTTCCTCATATACATATATATATATGTATACACAGACAGATAGACAGACAGATAGACAAGAGCCATTCCTGAATAGATTAATGGTGAATCTACAAATAAGCAGTTTTCAAAGGAAGACAAGTTCAAGCTATCTGCAGTCCTATCAAAGAATGCTCCAAATCTCTACAACTTTGAGGTCTTGCTTCAGCCCCATCAGATTGACAGTGATGACAGCTGCTGGAGGACTACAACAAAATACAAACATGAAAGCACTGTTTGTGGTGTTGCTAAGTTGTCCAGTCATTCTGAAACACAATTTGGAACTGTGCCCCTAAAGTTACTAAACTGTGCATATTCTTCTGATCAAGGGATACCATTATGAGGTCTATGCCCCCAGAGATCAAAGAAAGAGAAAAAGAATCCTCATATACAAATGTATTTATAGTAGCTCTTTCTGTTAAAGCCAAGAATTCATTTAGGGAATGGCTGAACAAATTACAGTTCATGAATATAATGAAATATTGTTGTACATTAAGATATGATGGGATGGACTATATTTGAGAAACCTGGGAAAACTGATGTGAACTGATACAAAACGAAAAAAAAATTACATAAGAATATTGTAAAGATAAACAACTAAATAAGATGTTAGAACTTGAATCAATGCTAAGTGGCACGCTACCCACTTCCTGACAGAGAGGTGATGGACTCAAGGTGCAGAATAAGACATAACGTTTGTGAATGTAGCAAATGCATGGATTTCTTTTGTTTGACTATATACTTATGTTATAAATTGCTGTTGTTCGCTTTTTATTTGAGGGAGAAGAATTTGGTGGGAGAATGGGGCTAGCAATAATGGTGCCATAAAAAGAACAAAAAAAGGATCACTGAAGCATTTTTTAAATTCACAAAAGGAAAAGAAATTCAAAAGGAAACACAGACAAGCAGGACAGCATGAAAGATGTTAAATTTTTTTATATATTTAAAAAGAAAAACAAGCTGTACCAAATGATTCAAAGTTTTATGTATAACCAATCTTTATTTTTCTGGTCTCCTTGGTATATGGGCATGCTCATCTTTTCTGGTGTTTGAACAGGCAAGATGAAAAGGGAGGAGAGAGGATAGGGGAAAACAGGAGAAAAGAACGGAGGCCAGGGGAGGAGAGGTAAAGACATGGGAGGAAAAGGAAAGACAGGACAGGGATGGAGAAGGAAAATTAGGAGGAGGGGGCAGGAGGAAAGGAAAGCTAATCTCCTAGCTCTGTACTTGTCATATTCAACAAATATATTTTTATCCATGTCACAGCTTATCTTATTATTAAGTGGCAATATATAACAAAAAACTGAAAATACTACCAGGAAAAGATCTATCCCCATTCAGAAAGAGAAATGAGGCCAAAAAGAACACAATGCGGAAAGGAAGAAGCCAACTGCCAGAGAGCGTATGACAGTAAAAATTAAAAACTACATGATAATGCCTACTTGGAGCACAAGAAAGGGCATAGGATTCCTTCACTAACACGTGACTAAGCGAGCAACTGACGTGTTAGGGGAGGAGCTAGAAGAGGAAGGTTCCTACACCCACCAAAATTCCTGACTTCGGCCTGAAAATCAGCATCCAAGCATTACACACGCTGGGCTGCCAGCCAACGGACACGGCTGAAAATATACTAGGGGCTAACATCAACCTGAACCACAGCCCTTTAGAAAGAATCCCCACCCTGCCTGTCACCAACTGTTTCCACACAAACACCAACCAAAACAAAGTTACAGGGAAAGAAGCACTGCACAGAAACAGTTTTGTGAGTGGGTGACTGACAATGTTACAAGCGGCGTTTTAATTGAAAGGCCTTCACAACATTGGGGACAAACCATTGTTCAAGGGCTCCCCAACCGACCCTATGAGCTCCTTGGAAGCTGACCCGGGCTGTCTTTTCCACTGACACTCCCACACACAAATGCTCTTCCACTCCGTGCAGCCGGCCCTCCGAGAGCTCGCTCCCTTGACTCTTCCAAGGCCTTTCTTACGCCTCCTCCTTCCTGACCTCTGTGCCTGGATCTTGCTGAGCACCACCCAGTCAGATACACACTGCTCTGCAAGGGATGGCTCCCTTACCCCGAGGCTGACCAACACTTTTCAGGAACCTTTCAAGAATTATCGCCCATCTACTCCCCATATTTAGGTGTACCCCAGTCTTATTTCTCCGCGTGCTCTCAGTGATATCATATGCTCCTATGGATTCAACTTCAGCTTTATTCAACGCCACATCTCCAGACTCATCTCCCTCCTGGGCTCCAGTCCCCCATCTCCAGCTATACACATCCAGATGTCCCAGAAGCACCTCATGATACCTCTTCAAGTCCCTCTTCCCAAAATTGGGCCCTCTTTCTCACTTCCCCACTTCTATTAAGGCAACCTCCATTTCTCCAGACATCTTGACCTTTGCTTTGACACTGGACTCCAAAGACTCCGAAGGACAGCGAGGGCTCTGCCTCACTCCAATGCAATTCCTCACACACAAGTCAGTCCATCCCACTCGTGATATCATCAGTCCTCTTCGAGAATGAAGGCCAAACACCAAGAACACCAGGAAGTTAGTAATAGCGATGCCAAAAAATACAGCCTTGGAACCTTTTTTTTTTTAATACAGAGAAGAGATTAAAAGGAAGCACAGAGAGGCAGGCAAGGTAGTTGTGCAAATAAGCGTAATATGAAATGAAGATTGGCCATTCCATAGAGAATGATCTTTTTGGGTTGTGCTGTGTGTGTGGAAATGCTTTGCTGAGGGGTGCTAAAGAGCAGAATGAAAAAAATGTATAAAGAAAGAAAAAAACTATGCAGACCAAATTCATTTAAAACAAACTACGAATTACTTTTGTATAACCAAATTATATTTAAGGAAATACAAGTCAGAAATCCCATTACCTAGAAGCCCATAAAGAATGTAGAACAGGACGGTCGCTGGTTAAATTAAGGTGAGGATTCTTAACCTCTTTTGCAACTCTCTTTGGCAGTGTGATGAAGAACTTTTTGTAAAATAAGGTTTTTATGTTTTATATGCATAAAATAAAATACATAGGATTAAAAGATCAATACTATTGAAATGCAGCTATCAAAACATTCCAAAAGCAAGTTCACAAACCGCCAAGGTAGAACTGGAGTTCCCAGGAAAGAAACCACCAGCTCCCAAGGCAGATGAGCAATCATTCTGCGGTTTCAAGTCTTACTGAAAAAAACAAATGCTCTAACTCCAGAAGAGAATTACTGAAATAAACTTGTGATCACTTTATTCTTACCTGTGTTTAGCAAGAAATTACAGTTACATAGAAGTATGAAAAGTTAAAATAGGTTCAATGTAATGACTGCTGTCAAGAGAACCTTTAAACCAACATCCAACTGCCTGCCTAAATCCATTAGGGAAGACTCGTTCAAGTGTTCTCACCTTAAAAATGCCAACCCAGTCCTTTGGGTGTGGACGGATGTACTGGGTCAAAGTGTAATGACATTCCAGGTGGGCATTCGGAAGGTAACTCTTGGCCACATTTTGAAAGATGACATGTGCAAAGTTGGAAGTCTGAAGAGTGCTTGACAATGGGACTTCTTGAAAGGATGTCATGTTTATCTGTAAGAAGTTATTAAGAGAAATCTTATTAACTTGCTTGATTTTTGCCAATCTTAAGTAAAAAAACTCTTTATCTGTAGAAAAAGCACATAAGCACCGACAGTGAAAACATCACAGAATGTTAGTGTCAGAAAAGACCCCTAAGTCCACACCTTACCTGAAAAAGATCCTCCACAGAACATATAACAGACAGTCAAGAATGAATGAACAGAGTGAATAGGAAAGCCAGGCCAAATGCTGAGAATAACAAAACAATACAATCCCTGCCCTCAGTCTAATAGGGGGCCGAATACAACAACAGGGAGTGATAGCCAGGAAAGAGGTGTTTACTCAGGGAAGTCAAGGGGAAAGAGGTTTGGAGCCAGACAGCAAATTTGCTGGAAGACCTCTGAAGAGGAACTTACTTTCAGTCAAGGTAGTCCATTCTAATTTTTGGACAAACTGACTGTTAACACTTTCCATAATGTAAAGGCCTAAGGGCAGCTATGTGATGCAGTGGATAGAGCACCGGCCCTGAAGTCAGGAGGACCTGAGTTCAAATCCAGCCTCAGACCAAACACTTGACACTTACTAGCTGTGTGACTCTGGGCAAGTCACCTAAGCCCACTGACTAGCCAAGAGAGAGAGACAGCACTAACAACTGTAAATAAGTGGGCTATGAGTATTTATTGGGACAGTTATCAATAATATGGCTCAGAAAGTTAATTAAAGGAAGGAAAACTGGGGACAAAGTTCAAAAGAACTGAGTAACCATAAATTCTAGTATATAAGAACTCCCCAAAGTTTTGGCTGTCGGTGTCAACCTAAAAGCGACAACTGCAGAGGCTTTGCCACCCTATAGCTTCTGGCCAGCCGAAGCAGGGCAGAGTGGGCATAACTAACCACTGCCGCTAATGTTCCCCCATTTGTTCCAGGACTTCTGTTACCTAGTCCATCCGGTCCAGAACTGGGTTCTCATCCCTTACTTAAAATTTTTTTTTTGGTCTTTGGACTTCAGCTGTGGTTTCCTTGTTATAGAGAGCAAACTGCCACCTTCTTGGCAAAGTATAGAGAACTGCCTCAGGCCCATGAGAGAGGAAGACTTGCCCTTCTCTTCACAGCCAAGATAAGCATGTCAGAGGCGGGCCTGAAACCCAGGTCTTCCCACCTCCCTTCCACCCTCTGGAGATGGTGCCGCCTCTCCAATAGATAAGTCATTAGCTCAACTGAGCCTCCAGGCTCCACAGCCTGACTCACTCCCCAAGCGCGGGTCAAACAAAGCCCTTCTGCAGCACCGATCCTGCTATAGTTAGCTCCTTTTCTCCACCCATCCCAGTACAAGCCCTTAACACCTCTCATCTTTTCAAGAGCCTAACTAAGCTGAGAGCCTCCAAAATCCTCCCTTTCCAAGATTTCCTCTACATAAGTGCCAAGATAACCTTCCGAAAGCCCAAGGGTGCAATGGATTATTCCCTCCTATGTTCAAGAATCTACAATGACTTCAGATTGTTTCTACAGCAAAACATTATAGACTGCAGCCTACTTTTCCAGTATTCTTTCCTACTGTCCCTTCTAAGGATTCTACACTTAAACCATACAGGCCTTATGAAAGCCACATTCCATCTCCGACTTTTTCCCATGCATGGAACACAATCCTCCTCATCTCCACTTCTTAGAATCCATAACTTCTTTAAGGCTCAGTCCCTGGGCCACCTCCTATGGGAAACTAATTCCCTAGTTGATTGTGTTTTCTCCTCCTCTTTATCATGTGTGGACATATATGTTTAATAATAATTGCTAACATTTATATTGAGCTTACTGCGGGTATGTTCACAAATCTTATCTCACTTGATCCTCACAACAACCCTGGGAGGTGGGTCCTATTATTATCCCCACATTACTGAGGCAGAGAGATATGAAGTGATTTATCAGAGTCCTACAGTTAGCAAAAGGTCTGGGGCTGTATTTGAACTCAGGTCTTCCTGACTCCAAGCCCAGCACTCCATCCACTGCTTACATTTGACATCCCTCTAGTTAAATGTAAGTATCCTGAAGGTGGAGATGTTTCTGTGCTTTTTCTGTGCACCTCAAGTGTCTAGCACCTGCATCAGCCTCTTGATGCATGAGTTAGTGCCCGGTCCCTTGGATTCCTGCCTAATTCCACTGGACTCAAGCAGTCTGTCTGAACCAGCCCACTCCTATTTGCTTTAATCCCTTCCTCTGACTTGGGACCATTCCTTCCTGCCAAGAAAAGTGCTCCTACCAGTTCCCTGTATTTAAGAGCTCTCAAGGCTGCCATTGTTCGTTGCCCTGAGATACACTCTATTAGTAAGGCTCCTCTAGTCTAACCACTGAGTCTTGGCCTCTCACGATCTGCCCCTCTCCAATAATAGTCAACACAGCATGTTTAAAGTTGTTTCCTCATTTGTAACAAAAATATGGAAACTACTAAAGAGGCTAGATTTGTTTTTCATGACTAATCAAATTTAAATCATTAGAAAGACTATTTAATTACTGTTGTCTAGTAAAACATATGCTTGCTTGCTTATCATCTTAACCTTGTCTGCTCAGATCTCAAATTAATGGAAATTGAATACAACAGAAATGTCATTCAGGAAATATCAAGTGCACAAAATCAACAAATGTGACTATTAAAAATTCACAGAATGGTCACTGGCTCAAAGAGTAGGTATCGTTTAGGCTGAGGTATTGGTTAACTCATGAACGGTGAATGCACTCCCAAACTACAAAACTTACATTTTTTCACATTTTGCTGTCTACATCTATGAGTGAAAAATAACAATTTGACTAATGCAGATCTGCTCCAAAAAAGCAATTTATTATTTTTATCATAGTAAGTCTTCCACCTTCAAAAGCTATAACACGACATAACTAATATTCTTCATGATAATCCTAAATCACCTTTTTTTAATCATTAAAGAAATTATCTCTAGCACTGTATTAACCTCAATTTGTTTCATAAGTCAATGAAAGTCTGTGGGATCAGGATTGCATTGAAACTCTAGCCTATAATTTAGTAACTGCTGACAAAGACTTTATTTAGAAAGACACCTTAAAAGTCAAAAACTTTCCATTCTGATGTCTCCTCACTTTTGCTTTATCCTAACTTTTCAAATTAACTACAGAAAAATAATTCAACTAAAAAATACAAGTATTAAATTTAAAAATTTTCACTCAAGTAAATGGGAAAATTGAAATGGTTCAAAAGCCATTAAAACCAAAATCTTAAAAGTCACCACTTCCTATTTTAAAAAATTCTTTTTTATAAAGATTAAAGTTTGTACAATTCCAAAATTTACTGCCAAAGCACATTATTCTATAATCTTCTGTGTGTAACAGAACTTTTCAGAGGAGAAAGAATTAAAGTTCCACTTAATTATTTAAACAGAGGATCTCATACCTTGGATTGATACTGAACCCTTCCTGACCTGATATATTCCCAAACTGGTTACTCCTGCAACATTGCCCCAAGGGCAATATCTGCTCAAAGGGAATAGCAGCCAGCAGAATATTCTAATTCCCACTAAAACTAACAACTGCCCCCCCCCTTCCCTCTCTACTTTAGCTAGCCCTGCCCACAGCCCTGGGAAGATGAGAAGTATTTCTTCATGAAAAAGGTTAGAAGTACGTTTAAAATCAGAAGATCTCACTGTGTGCATCTGCGTTGCCCGAGCTGAGTTAGTGGGTTGGTAATGGGTGGGTAATGAGGCCAAGGCCCCAGATTTCCTCCTTCTCAAACTCCAGTCAGTCAAATCTAATCCATGTCAAATCTTGAAGTTCTAAGCATAAAACTCAGGAAGTTCTTTTTCCTCAAACTCATACAACACATATGATTTTATGGAATGCTGCTTCCCAGAGGTAATCCAAGTGAAAAAGTAGTTTTCTTCTTTAGACAAAGGGTCGGTGTAAGTCGACAAGCATCTATTAAGCACTTACAATGTGCCAGGCATTGTTCCAAAGTGACAGGAATATAAAGAGAAAATGAATAATATAATTTTAAAACATCAATTCATTATCCAACCCTAAAGAGCACTGTTTTTTACTCATTGTACTTGTATGAATTTTTACAGTCTACATTATAAGAAATTAAATTCAAAACAAAAAATGTTTCTTGATAATGGCTACACTGGAGGCAGATTTAATTGGAATGATAATATTCACATTTATAAATATTCACAGTATTAATAGGATTATTCTATAAATGGCAGCAGTGCTCTGAATTATTTTAAGCCTAATACAAGTAACTTGCAATATATATAATAGCATGAAACTATTAGTTTATTAAAGCAGGGTTATCATGATTTTCTTCCCTTTCCTTCTATTCCAACAAATTTAATATCTTCAAATCAAAAACTGACAGTTGGATAATCCACAACACTGCCGACTCTGGCTTATCAAACGGAATAAAGAATCCTTTCTATCAGTTACCTCAAATTCTGCTAACCTTGCCTTCACCTGCTCCCTCAAGCCCTCTGACTCTAGTTTCCAGGAGTCTCCAAAAGACTCAAATTCCCTCTCTTTCTGCTTTTTCTCCTCAAAACCCATTGGAGAGAGTCCCAGGAAACCCACTACCTTCCCTGTCTGCAAACAGTACCATTCCTAGAGAAAATACAGCCCTACCCCATTCCTAGAAAAGAGAAGCCGATCACACTTAACACCCTCCCCACAAGATAGGGAAAGCCACAACTGCTAGTTCCAAGGCCTCCCTCTCACTTTCTGCTACCAGGTGTCCAGGAATGGGAAATCAGTTTAAAATGAGTGAAAACTGAGGAGTCAAAACCAGGAGTTTTGACCATAAAGACCAATACTATATATTATAGCCCACTTCCACATTTCATGCTGCCTATCCAAAATCTCCAATTAAGTCCTCAGCCAGCTAAACCCAATTTCTTGGGACCCTTACAGGCCACATAACAAAATTCTTAATCTTAATTCTAAAGGTAATAATTGTACTGTGCATTTCTGTGTACAGTCCTATATAGAGTTCACTGTGTGAGCACAGGGGGAGCTCAATAAATATTATCTATACTTCTCTATGCAAATTTTTCAATCCTATAAGGACAAAGGACTGTTGGTTATCACGTTCTTCCAGAATATTAACAATAGCCAACATTTCTACATACTGCATCATCTCATTTGCCCTTCACAAGAATCTCATAAGGTCAATGCTATTACCCCCATTTTTTACAAAGGAAGAAAGTGAAGCTGAGAGAGCTTCATTAATGCCTCGTTCAGGCTAGCACAGCTAGCAAGTGTCTGAGGCAAGATTCAAAAAGTCAAGTCTCCTTGACTCCAAGTCCTGGGACCAAGCTGACTCTGTTATCAAGCCACACTGCACTACCCATTTCACTTGAATGAATTGAACAGTACATACAGCAGGAGCAATCCTTAGCCAATTTAAATAAATATAAAACACTGAAAAGATTCATAAATTATGTCAGTTGTCATAAACTTTTTTCCAATTGCCTTACATAATTTAGCAGCTCTAAATATTAGCATATATAAAGATGATAGAAAGAGGGAATTGACCTATGACTTTATTAAAGTAATAAAGAACTTCCTGGATGAGGAAAACTCCTTCTACTAGAACAGGTCAGAGCCTTCTCTTAAACTTCCAGTAACAGAACAGGGCCTAGGGAACTTGCCCCAAGCTCACATGGCCTTGTCAGAGGCAGGAATTGAACCTAGATCGTCTGGCCTCTGAATCCAGCTCTTAAAAAGTCAAGCAACTTATAAGCAAGCAAATAACTGAAAGCTATTTAACTGAAATAAAATGAGCCAGTGTATTAAATGTTATTACTTGTAGTGAAAGTGATGTCAAAGTGATGTCAAAGTGGAGAAATCGGCTATATCTCTATTCATTTTTGGGGGGGGGAGGGTGAGGCAATCTGGGTTAAGTGACTTGCCCAGGATCACACAGCTAGTAGGTGTGAAGTGTCTGAGACCATATTTGAACTCAGGTCCTCCTGACTCCAGGGCCAGTGGTCTCCATCCATTTTTAAAAACTATGTACAACTCACACTGCATTTTAATTGCATATTCCACCTACAGACACCTGAAGAAAGAAGATCAGCATTTTGAAAGCTTCAGATTATCCATGCTTTAGCTCACTCCTGCATAAAGCCCTTCAAATAGAGGTTAAATATCTACCTGAATACCTGAAGAGCCCCTCAGCACTCTGAGAAGCAGTATCCTTTATAATGTTATAGATATGTCAAAAATCTCACCCTCAAAGAGGTCTATATTGCCTCTGTTAGGGAATTTGTATTTATTTGTAGGTTGAATACAAGCAGGTGGAATGCAATGGCTTGCACACAATTTTGTTTCATAAATTAGCCAAGGGGGATAGGCAGCACGTTCAGTCTGCAAGGTCAGAATATGAAAAGAACACTGGACTTTTCCAAGCTGTAAGTCTGACTCTAAAAGGGTAAACAACACGAGCTGTTTATATGAATATTTAAAGCAGTTTAAGAATTCTACCATATTGTAAAATCTACACCCATGCGCTTAACTGGGAAGGGAAAAGGAAGGTAAGCACAGCGCTAAGCCCCTTAAGATATATTATCCCGTGTGCTTGATCCTCACCACAATTCCAGGAGGGTGGTGCTATCATCACATCATTTTATATGGATGTTTCAAGAAACTGAGGCAGGCAGAGAGGAAAATACCTGCCCAGGGTCCCCGAATGGCAAGTGTCTGAGGCCGGATTTGTCCTCCAGACTCCCAGCAGTGAAGGGAACTCCGGGGTACACAGTCCCTCCCTTCCCGAAAGACAGATGGCCACTCGTCTCTAGCTCCTGGTCAGAAGGTGGCCCGGGGCGCGCAAACTGAAGGTCCCACAAGTGCTAAATGAGGGGCAGGGTCCTGCAGACCCACTCTGCCTAACCACCACCCCCTTAATTTCCTTTGATGTTTCTTTAAAACCCACAAACTTCTGACGCCCGGGACCCACCCCACTTGCTCTCCAGCCCAAAGTTAAGACGTAGGGAGACTCCAGCGCTGCCCAGCCCCCCGCTATCCGGTGACCCCTAGCGCAGCCCCGGGACCGGTGAGATCAGTGGGCTCCCCGCGGAGCGCCGGGCCCAGACCGGCACATTCCGGAAGTACGCGGAGCCCCTCCCCCTCCCGAAGGGCCGGCCCCGGCCCCGCCCCCTCTGTCAGAGACACAAACACCGGCTCCCGGCGCCCCGCGCTCCCCTCCCCCTCTCGACCGCCCCACGCCCACGGGGCCCTCGACCGCACCCCCGAGGAAGGAGGAAGGGCACCTTTCGTCAAGGCCCCGCCCCTGATTCTCCTGCCTCCAGGGCCCGAGTGGGTCAACCGACCAACACTCTTTGGGCACCTACAGTATACGCGATGGGGCTACAGAGGTTCGCGGGGAGCGCAGGCCCCCCCCAGCCCTCTCCTCTTCCAGGGAAACTCCGAGGCAGAGAGCGCCCGCCCCTCCCCCGCACCCCGGCTCTCGCCCCGACCGCCCCCGGGAGCCCCTTTCCCCTGCGGGCACGTCACAATCCCGGCCCGGCCTCCCGCCCGCCAGCCCCGGCTCCTTACCCAAGCAAGGCAGGGCCGGCGAGGCCCCAGCAAAGGCTGGGCAGCGTCAACAAGGCCCGCCGCCCAGAGTCGCCATCGGCCGCCAGGCGCCTTCGGCCACACACCGGCTGAAGGGCCGTCTCTGAGGGGCGGAGGGACGGACGGACGTACGGACCTACGGACCGAGGAGGAAGAGGTGGAGGAGGAGGAGCGGGGAAGGGAGGGACGGAGGGAGGGGCGAGCGAGCCGCGGCTGCGCGTCACTTCCGTCCTTCCGGGAGGCTGGCTTCCGCCGAGCGCGTGCGGCACCGGGCAGGAAGGGGCGGGGCCGGGGGGGGGGCGGGACGCCCTGCCGGCGCAGGTGCAATGGCCCCGGGCTTGAACTGTCACTCGGCCTCGGCCTGGGTCTGGAGTCCCGCCCCCTGCTCCTTCCCATCGCGAGACTTGGCCTGGAGCTCGGAAGACCAGAGGGCTCCGTCACTGCCAGTGTTCGAATCCCTCGTAGGACACTCAGGGAGAGGGAAAGCTCCCTGAGGGCAGGCAGGGCCGCTGCGCTTGTATCCCCAGTGCAGGCTCACTGCGTGAAGGTGGGTTTGCAGAGCACTTCCCAAATATTACCTAACGATATCCTCACGGCAACCCTGGGAGATGGGCGCTATTATCACGCCAATTTTACAGATGAGGAAATTGAGGCAGGCAGGTTCAGGGCCTCACCAGGCTCACACTGCCAGCAGGCTTCGAGGCAGGATTTGAACTCGGGTTTCCCTGACTCTTAAAGCCCAGGTCTTCCTGAAACAAGCCTCAGCTTGTGGATGAATTGATCGGATTACTCTTCCTGGAAGTGTGGAAGGGACCATCCCCTCCCCTTGTGTATATGATGTCCAGGGATCTACAGACACAGACGGCCCTGTGGACCTCCCCCAGCCGAGGGTCAACCCCGAAGTCTTTGCATCCCCTGGGGCCCAGCGCGGAGCCTGGGACAGAAGAAAGATGCTTAACAAATGCGTGTTGATTTATTAATGTGGAGCCAGAGGGACCTGGGTTCTAATCTTGCCTCAACTCACATTACTGACCTGTATGACCTTGGGCAAATCACGTGATTGCTCTGCTTTCTTCATTTGTCATATATTCCTTTGTGATGGACGGCCCTTAACGAGCCTCGGGCCCCAGATCCAGGATTCTGTGACCTGTGGGCAGCTCCTTCCATCTGTCTACGTGATGCAGTATCAAATTCCATTCGTATATAAAGCTGACATTATTACCCTTTGCTTTCCTGCACAGTAAATTTACTGTCTTCCTGCTTCTGGTAGACACGTGTGTGATGTGCACACTCACAAATTTATACATGTGTGACAGGCTGTGATGTGGGTAAAACCGGCTTAGTGCTTACATACATACACATATACGTACTAGGTACTATATACAGTAACTAACCTTCCTAAGCATTTTTCTGATTTTTTTTATCCCCATCTTGTGATCTTGACCTTTTAGAGAGTGAAACCAACTGTTGCCTGAAGGGACTTTAGAAGGAAGGACTGGTAACTTCAGCCCCTGGTTGGTTGGTTGGTTGGTTGGTTTTTTTCTGGGAGTTTTTCTTGCTTTGCATTTCTAAGCCCGGTAAAGAGTTTATGCCAATTAGCTTTCATTCTTAACTAAATGAAATCCAGGGGCTTAGTCAGCCTCACATATGTTAATGTGTTCCATTTTAGTGATAGTGACTTTACCAAGCATCTGTCCCCCGGAAAGGTACATCAGAAGATCAGTCAGCAAGATAAACTGAGTGTACAGCAGCCCAACACGAGATGCTGTGAGGAATAAAAAATACAGCTCCGGGAGCATCCGGGAGATGAAGTCTGTGCATACAATGTTAACTACCAACAAAAAGGTACCACGAGAGCTGACTTGTGTATAAAGCTTTATGTTCTCCATCTCATTCGCTCCTCATGATGGCCCTGTGAAGTACTTACTGCAGATATTATCTAGTACTCCCATTCTGCAGATGAGAAAACTGAACTGCCCGTGACCGCACAGCCACAAGTAGCGGAAATAAATTTGAGCTTCTGAGTCCAAACTGCCCACTCTACCATACTGCCTTTTAATACGGTAAGGAGGCACACTGCAGCACAGGTGGTAAAGGGGGGCTTGATGGAAGAGTATTTAATTAAACCAGTCCTCGCCGGTTGAATTCGATTGCCTGAGTAGACGGTCAGTGAAACAGCCTGGCTCTCCTCTGCTCGACAGTGCTGGGAGATGCAGAAATACCAGATATGGTTCCTGCCCTGACCTCTGGTTAGGAGATGAGACTGACACACACAGAACAATTATTACCAAACAGCCCAGCCTACAGCGGAGCTTAAGGCTTTGCAGCTGTGCCGTGGGAGAAGAGAGAAGAGATTAGTGAAGGCTGCTGTCCTGACTTCATGGGAGATTGGGCGCCGAAACAGGTCGTGAAGATTAAGTAGGATTTCAATGGCCAGAGAGCAGTGCAGAGGGAATTCTAGACCAGAGAATCGACAGGAAGGAAAGCCTTGCTTACACTCTTCAAAATGGGAATGAGCTTGGCATATTCTTGAAGCGTTGAGAAGAATAACCAGAAGAGGACAAGAAGTGCAAGTTAGGGATCAATATGAAATAAGGTCAGATAAGGGCATTCAAATTCATTCAGAGTCCAGTCAGCGCTGACCTTCTGAGAGGGAGGAGATTGTGGTAGTGAAAGATAAGTTGTTGGTTTTTTTGAAAGATGAGTTTTAAGGTGGCTCCGTGAGTAGAGCTCTGGCCTTGGAGTCGAGGACCTGAGTTCAGATCCAGCCTCAGACACTTAACACTTACTAGCTGTGTGACCCTGGGCAAGTCACTTAACCCCAATTGCCTCACCAAAAACGCAAAAAAAAAAAGTGTTGAAAAAAGAAAGTTAGGCCTAGCTTATGGAAAGCCTTGAATATCCGACTAAGGCGGTATACAGAGCCAATGAGGTTTTTTGAACAGGGGAGTGGCATGAAGAAAGATTGAATAACAGGGGGAAACTGGAGGCAGAGAAATGAAATGTCTTGTCTTTGCAGCTCCTGTGGCTGGCACGAGGTCAGTGCTTCCTGAATGCTTACTGATTCAGTGAAATTGGAGGCTGTGGACCACATTTATGCCAATGACCCAAGTCAATGGAAGACTCTTCAGGATGTAGAGAGTGGATAGCCAAGAAGACCTTGGGTCAAAGATGGCGTATCTAGGAAAATGAGGATGGCAAATATAGGGCGGGTCAGAAAGGGGAGATAGATGGGGTGGGGAGGAGCAACAGAAAGTTTGTCTTGTGGCGTGCTGAGGATGTCCAGTCCATTAAGTTAGTCCATCAGTGTATTTACCTTGAGCAGGTGCTGGAAATGGGCAATGATGAGTGGAGATCAGAACCGAATAGAGGGCTGAGTGCTTGCGTTTTAGAAGTCGTATAGGACTTTCAGGGATCACAGAGTCCCTCAATGCCATCTTTTAACACCTGTATACTTCTAGGAATATTATATGGCAAAAACCAGAGGACATCTTCAAAGAATTGAAATGGTACATGGTCTAGGAGGCAATGGAAGGATGTTTGATAGATGTCAGGAGGCTTTAGCCTATCCCGGGATGCAGCAAATAGGGCAAAAGGTATCCTCACACAGGCCCAGAAGAGGACTCGTCTGGGGAGAGGAGTAAAAAGGTAACAGACGCGCAGGCTCAGGGTTGCACCAGAATCCAGGAAATATCCAAAGACCCAAAGCAAGGACCCCAACATGTAGATTGTGGCAAGACTTAGAGGGGACAAGTTCAGAAAACACACAAAAAGGGAAGACACAGGCTGCCGTCCCCGCTGGCCCAGGGGACCCACCCTGTTGACATCACAGATCCATCAGGGTATTAAAGAAGCTTTTCAGTAACTTTAGAGATGGTGGTATGGAATAATAGAAGGCCCAGTGGTGTTAGGGAAAGGACTGGGTTCAAATCTCAGTTAGGCTCTTCTATGGTGGTGTGACTGTGGGCAAGTCATTAACCTCTCTGAGCCTCAATTTCATCATGTATAAAGTGGAGATAACAAAATCTTTCTACCTACCTCAAGAGATTGTGAGGATCAAAGGAAATAGTCTGACTTGAATTAAAATTACACCGAGCACATGTGAATCTTAAAGCACTGTATAATGTCTGTTATTTTTTATTTCCAGAATGCCTAAATGTTGTAATTGGAGCCATAGTCTCTACCCATTAGCTGAGAGCAAGATTGAGCACATTGAGCAAACTCCTAAAATGCAGAGGGACAGGGTCCCATTACATAATATGTAGGGAAAAAGGCCCCAGAGTCTGAATCAAGGAAGGTTTGATTCCAAACAAGTCCCACTGATGTTACTTACTGAGTCCTGTCACCTAACTACTCACCCCTCAGCTCTCTTGTCCAGAAAATGGGCATAAATCACACTTAGACTATAAACCCAACCGAGCTGTTGTTAAGGAATAAATCAGATAAGGAGAGAGAGAGAGAGAGAGAGAGAGAATCTTCTTATAGCCAAAAGGCTACACAAATATAAATGTAAGCTATTCTCTTTGCTATATAGCAAAGCTGCTTTTTTTCTTCTTCTTCTAAATTTAAGGTTTGAATTAAATTCCAATAGAAACGGAATGTGATTAACCAACTTTTCATGGTGTACTAAATATAGCACCCCTTTATTTATACAATTTCCAAATATATACTAATGGTTCTAGTTTAATTGGTTTATTAAAAGTTTCTTTAAATTTTTGTAAGCAAATTAAGTTGCAGCCCAGATCAATTACTAAGGCTATGTCTATTCTAAGTAAAGCAAAAATTGGCGGTTAATTTAGTCCAACAACAATACAGGTCAAAAATAAACCTCCCCTTGCCTGATTTAGCATACAGCGGTTTCCTTATTTACATTGATCAAATTAACTGGCTTAGTGCCAGATCTTTATTTCACTTTCCACTGCAGAATCACCATCTTCATTTTTGTTCTCCAAGAATTCTTGTGGAAAAAGTAACCAGGTTTCATTCTAGAGTGTGATGGAGCAACGGCTTTCATTAAGGGTCTCTTATGTACAAAGAATCACTGCCCTCAATGAGTTTACAGACTAAGGACGACACGGTTTGCACGTGTTTAAGTAGATTTGAAGAGATACAAGGTAGTTGTTGGAGGTCCTTTTGTGGGGGGGAGTTTAGAGAGGGGAAGGCCCTAGCAGCTGAAGGCATCAGGGAGGCCTTCTT